GACACCACCTCCTGTTAGTATGCCAAAAATATGTTGTCTAAGTAGCAGATGAGTATAATGTTTGCATGTACTTATGTAATGCAAGTCCATGGATCAAAGCAGAAGTCATAAAATGAAAACTGCTTGCAAGGATTCACTAATTAAGTTCTTTTGCTGAAAGCATCTTTTTAGGGGCATAGAGATCTGAAGAAATTAATATGACTTTCAAACATTTCCTTTTGAGTCTCCATAATTTGATGCAAGTGCAGTGCTACAACTATGAAATTACCGCTGGAAAAATGTAATTTGAAATTGATTTTAAAAGACAGAGGTCTTCTACTAAAAACCCCATCATCAGAAAGTGTCCTATATAAAAAGACCCAAAAATAGAAAATTTGCCCTACCGGTGGAAGATAAGTTCATATTCAGATTCAAACAAAATACACAAGAAAATTAATGGAAGTCATCAAACCAAAAATATATACATGATATTATCAATTGAAAAGGATAAAGAATCTATAGCTTAGCCACAACAAAATTTCTTAATAACTGCAATGCTCACTATAAAGTGTTTGTTCAGGAGGACACAAGTTAAAAAACACGACCAATCATTCTCAATTCAGAGTCAATAGTGCAAATCCTTTCTGCCCTACCAACTCTTTCTCCATAAGAAATTTTTTTTTTTTTTTTTTTTCATGGTGAATGGATGAAACCTCATGTTGTTGTATTCTAAAACACAGTGAAGAAATATTGTTGGTAAATTCTTGGGAGAGGAAAATGTCTTTAACTAAGAAAAGAAATTCCACTTCAGAAAAAAAATAATTAGATGAATAAAAAAAGACTGAATTATGATAAGGGTGGACAAGGTTTCTCTCATTCAAAGATCCCAACCCTCCTCTCAAGATCATTGATTAGACATCTCTTCAAGTATTTACATATAACTACCATCTCCTCTAATTGTCAACAAAACTTTATGACTGTATCCCCACAAATGCATAATTAATGTGGAAAAGCTGTAAAAGTGATCAGAAAGACTAAAGACTGATGTTTTAAGAGGTCGGCATTTCGATATTTATACTTTTTATTGGCATGTCCATCGAATCAACTATCAAGACCTATGGAATTTCTATGCACAAAATCAAATGGTGGAGATTACTAATGATTAAGAGGCGTAATTGAAGTCTCTATACGATGTATAGTTGTTTCATATTTATTTGATGTGGACTTCATACCTTAATACGTTCGTGCAAATGATGGCTCGTTTAAATAAATCATTCTTTGAATTCGTGTGCTTACTTGAGTTTTAGTCGAATAAAATTGTTCATTTAAATTTAGTAGGTTCTGATATCATATTAAAATTTGGAATTCCATGTCAAACGATCAACCTCATTTAAAAGGAGTATAACACAATTCCTTGCATACTAGTTTCATATTTATTCAATATGAGATTCATTCTTTAATGATATTATCATTTTGTCATTAATATTTTATGTTAGCTTCCAATCTACATTACAAAAATTCTATAAAAAATTAACTATGAGAGCATTTATTTTCATCCACAATTCTTATATATCTACACACTTCTAAAAATTTATATATTACATTTTTTAACTTATATAAATTTATTTAAATAGAAAATAATAAAACCAAATAAAATCTATTACTTTAAATTCATCCACTAACTTTCTGAACTAACTATACCACTAAATCTTATGCTTTGTAAGTTAAGAAGATTAAGTTAAGAAGATTTAATCCTATGATCATTCCCAAAAATCCATCACCTCCAAAAGTTGAAATTCCTCTTTTCCACCTCAAACCGCCAACTGGACCTTGTCATCAACCCAGAAAACCAACTAAAACAAATATAAATACCCCCAACATCAGTAGTTCTAAGTGACTGTCAAATCAACTAATCAAATTAGAGAAAAAAAATACTTCAACTTTCAACTACAATTCGCATGGGCAATCATGAAAGCACAGCAAAAATTTAAAGAATATAAAGTTAAAGAAGCTACAGGCTAAAAGTATGCATAGATTGAACAAAAAGGGGGCAATATTAATAATAGGTAAACTGAAATAAACAGACGAAAGTGGGGCCAAAAAGAAAGTTACAAGCTTTAAGATTTCATATTTCAGAGCAAAATTCTACCATAGAAGAAGGGTCAAACAGTATGAAGAGGCTGCTACACACTGCAGAGAAAGAAGAAAACGTTGAAACGTGATGAGAATTGGTCATAATTATGAATTTGTATAAAATTAATTAATTAAATGGGAGTAATTATATGCATTGTCATGATTAATAAAAGTGGGATAGAAGTGGTGTGGATATATATTATTTAAATAAATGAATTTAACAATGATAATTTTGGAATGTAACGTAGATGAATATGGTACATTTTTAAAATTTCAATATGAATATATTTAGAGTGAGATAAATATATAAAAATTGTGAATGAAAATAGCAGCAGCTCCCTTAATATTAACTTTAATGAGTGTAAGAATATAATAAATTATAATCACGAAAGACAATCTATGAAATTCTTGAAATTTTCTCGAGATCTCCGTGATTCTGGTCATATTCTATGATTTTTCGCAATTATTTTTATAATTATGAAATATTCATGATTTTTTTTTTTTTTTCCAATTGAACTGTTTCTGTATTTTTTAAGTATATAAGAGGGATGATAGAATGAAGCAAAGTCAATAAATTTTTATTCAATTGAACTTGTGTATAATAATGGTAGGGATGAACCAATTGATCAGCATGTTATGTTTGATTAAACGTACCATCTCTCAATAGATTAGTTAGTATCAAAGAAAATAAAACTAAATTGTTATCCATTATATTGCTCCATGATAAGTGTATTTTGTATACTTATTTGGGCCTTTAAATTAGAATATGTATATGTTATTTTAATTAATTATGGTTTAATTCTACGTGTATTTTGTTTGTTATGTATAAATCGACATAAATGACGGAATTGACGCGTTCAATTGGCACTTGATCTAAATTAACTTGATCGTTAATTTTTCATCTCTCTCTCTCCTGTATTCTGTTCCTCGATATGCAAACATGATTCTTTCTTTCTTTCCGTTTCAAAATTTCCCATGTTGTTTTCGTCATTTAAGTCTTTTGACAGGAAAAGGAAGCCAAGAAGGAAGCGTTTAGAAAGTACATAGAATCCAGTGGAGTTTTTTGATGATCTGACAAAAGGTTACAACTATTTTAACTTTTATTTTTGATTTAAATTAGTGTAGTTATTGTATCCAGATATTATTTGTATCTAATAGATTTAATACAAATACTAGATGATTGTACGGTGTTCGCAACATGAAGCTTGCGAAATTATTATTTTAAATTTTAAATTGTGAGCCTAATTTTCAATTTATACAATCAAAATAATGTGGCTTGTTAATGTTAGTGATCTTAAATCTCAACATTTTATTAAGTGTTAGTTGAGATGTTGAAAATGGTTTAATGATATTGTTTGTTAAACCATCCAATTAATTTAATTGAGAACAAAATATTTTTCATTTTTATTTAGGGAATGCTATTACATATCATGTCAATATCATAGTTCTCTCAATTATAACTTGGCTTATGGTTAGAGTCTAATTTTTCCGTCAATTTATTTCTATAGTACCAATATATGTAAAATTAATTCGCCACAATACACTGAGATGGAAACTAAAGAATACTAAGAATAAATGCGTCGTTTGAACATTTATCTCAAACAAGTGATATTTTATACAGTAAAAATAATTGTCGATTTGATTGGACAATTTTCTCAGCATTAAGAGGAGGAATTAAGAAGTTGAAAATAATGTAAAAATGCAATATCATCTAAATCCTACCAAAAAGTCATTCAAACCAGAAGTTCGAAAAATAATTTATTTAGATACATTTACTGACGTATGAGATCAACAATATCTCACAAACCAGTTTTAAATACTGCAACTCGAATTAACAGGACAATTAGTTAATATTATATACGATAAATTTATGGTACCAATTGGTATCAGGATTCAACTCAAGTCTTCCATATGATGGAGGTCTTGGGTTCGAATCTTGGGGGACGCGTCAGAAAGTCGTGAGGGGTAAGATGGGACCGGGCTCTCCCAAAACGGACAGTACACAAAATATGATAACAGCT